GTCCTTGAAGTTGTGTAGGAGCGGCTAAAGGCATGTAGGTATTTTCCTCTTGGCATTGGTATCTTCTAGGAGGACTAAATCAAGGGCCATGTGTGTGTCTCGAATGAACCGTAGGAAGTTCGCTCATTAAACTAATGAATCCTCTACATAGATGGAGCCCTTCGCAATCTTGACAAGTAATAGCATGATGCACTTCCCATACTTTTTAAATGTGTATGTGTTCTTGAAGCCATTGTGTTGAGTTTTCCAGTCAAACCACCACAGTCATCCCAGTAGGATGTGACAAGCTTTTATTTGAACCACGTCACACCACACTTGCTCCTATAATTGATCGCCAATTGAGATCTCAACTAAATATAGTTGATCAACGTGTATCTTGTTCCCTTTTTTGATCAGGTGAGAGATTAGGCTTGCAGATGTTCTTGTGTGGCTAAGCCCAACCCTTTAACCATTATCGTAGATACGATGTTTTCAAAACTTTCGCCATCGATGATCAAACTGCAGATTTTGCATTTTATCGTGCACGTGGTGTGAAAGATGTTGTGTCGGAGCCATGACGGATCTCGTTCTGGTTCTAACTGTAGGACCCTTCATACGAACAACATTTCGCCTTTATCTACTGGCAGTGGAAGTGCCTCTCCTTCTGATCTGTTCTCCGACTCAGTTTTCATTATTTCTTCAACGACGCTTTCTTCAGTGAACGAGAAAACTCGGCTTGTGGGATAGTTGGCGGTGATGTGGCCATAACAGTGGCACCTAAAACACTTTCATCCGGAAACAGTTTAGGATGAACTAGCCTTTTCTAGTTTTGTGCCCCTCGGGGTGGTCTTCTCGCTTCCTGGTATTGATTTTGCCAGTTGCGGAAGTGATCTTGTAGGCAAGTGTGGCTGTAGATGACGACTTGAAGGTTGGTTGCTGTCGGAAGGATGGTCGGAACCTAGCTTGTTTTTGCTGTCGTTCTACCTTTAATGCTAGGATTTGGAAATCACTCAGTGACCAATAAGGTTGCAGTTGAACGATGTTGCAAATGGCTGGTTTTAGGCCCCCCAAATAGCGGGTGATCGTGTGCTCTTCTTGCTCGACTAACTCGCAATTCAGTTATAATTGGTCAAACTTCATCGTGAACTCCTGGCTGAAAAGTTTCACTGTTGTGGGTTGTGAAGCATGAGGAACATGTCCTGGCGATAAAGGGGTGTCAGGTACTTCCGCATAGTTTTCTTCTTTTTTGCTCGTTGGGTGATCTTCTTGTTTTTATCCGGTTTGCGTTGTTGTTGCAGATTTTTCCATCATAATATGGTGTTTTTCTTCAATTTGATAGCAGCGAATTTAACCCCGTTTATCCTCGGGCACCTCCTTGTATTTGAATAAACGTTCAACCGCTTGTAACCAGTCAATGGAGTCATCGAGTTTCATGTTTCCTTCAAACTCTAGTAGATCTTGATGTCGTAGTCTCGATGGGCACTGAACGAGGGCTCCTCTCGTGGCCTCCGTTGCTAGTGAATGTCGAAGCAGTGCAGTCGATATTCATCATCGCTGACGCCTTCGTGGTGAAACAAATTCAGATTTTCTTCATGGTCTTCTATTCAACTCTCAATATCACGGTCAGGGTAATATCTCCATGGGTCCCGTCGTCCAGCTCGGCCAATTGTTGTTGCAGATGATGAATCTCACATTGTATTTCTTCCCAGGTCAGGCCAAGCACATATCTACATGACGATATGACTAGGTGTGATTCGAAAATAGATGAAAGAAAGGAGAAGAGAAGAAAATGACGAAAAAGAACAAAAAAAATTATGGGTAGCTTGGGTGGGGGCAAATGCTGGGAAATCTTAAGCAAGGACTAGAATTGGGCTAGCTCTGATACCGAATGACACAGAAGTTAAACCAAACCCCGACTCAAACGACATGTATTTAATTGTTGAAATTGAGAAAGTACGACTCTTTGATGAAAGGAACAACACAAGCATGTAAACAATGATATAAGAAGCAACGACTCAACAAGTAATAAAATGAGTAAAAGATAAAAACTGTCCTGGAAGGCGCTGGATGGTTGCTGAGAACCCACCGGAAGGGATGGGGGAGGGTCAGTAGCGGCTAGAAGGACATCGAATGAATCATTAACACTGGAGGACGGCGGAGAGAGTGTAGAAGATGGACAACGACAGCTGGAGTGGCGTTCAAGGGGACCTGAAGAACCAACAACCTGCTGGGGGAGGTTGGGAGGCACGACAGAGGAGGGTGGTGGCGTAGGAGGGGTGGTGCGGTAGCTTGGAGGGAAGTGCAGCTCGTCTATGCCACTGGAGGGAGCCTGAAGGGTCGGATGACCTGCTAGAGGAGGTTGGGAGTGCACCGGTGATAGGGGTGATGAAGGAGGGGTGGTGAAGCAGCCTAGAGGGAAGTGCAGCTCAACTATGCCATTGGAGGGAGCCTGAAGGGCCGAACGACCTGCTGGAGGATGCTAGGAGTGCAGCAAGGCAGAGCGAAGATACACACCACCTTCGGCGAGATACAGCCGTAGCACCACTTGCCGAAGGATACAACCCTCAAAGAGAGAACGCCAAGAAGACACTTGAAATTAGAAATCAACAAAAATAACAACTGATTAGACCTAAAAAAAGAACATGCACAAATAGGGAAGAAGGGAGACAATCAAGGCAAGATTCTAGGAAAGGAAGAAGGTTAAAAATGGAAGGGATTGAAGAGGCCATTGCAACGGCTAGGAGAAGAGGCGGAAGAATAAGGCACAGGGGAGCAGAGCAAATTGAACACAAGAGGAGGTGTGAAACTCAAGTGAATGGCACCCGTCCGGTCGAACACAAGAGGTGTGAAACTCAAGTGAATGGCACCCGTCCGGTCCAGTGTGAAGGCTAGATCAGCTTCTCATTGCGCCTGGCCCGACAAGTTGTAAGCAGCCTCGCGTCCCCACGTCACATCCGAGTCACCCACCATTGTTGAAGCCACCCCCGAACAACCACCATTGTTCTTTTCACTGGAGCTTTTCCAATTCCAGTCACCTGTCCTCGCTATTTATATAAATAATTATACGATTTTTTTTATTCCGAGCTAAAACGAGCCGAACAAAAGCGAAGAAAGAATTGTTTGTATATGACTCGTTTATAATTTGAGCAAAAAAATTTTATTTTTGTTCGGCTCGTTTACTTAATGAACAAGCTGAACACGAACTACTTAACGAGTCAAACAAGAGTTATTCGCAAACAAGAAACTTTTTTGACTGTCCTGCTCCCAACAACTTTCTCATTGTCCAACACTCTCTTTCTTGCAACCCCTGCCTAGGACATCAACTGCATTTGTCGTTCCTACAGCTTTGCACCCCCTTAGTGGTTGCCCACACCTTTGTTGTCGTCGAGCCTTCCAGCCATTTCCCCACTCATTGCTACCTCTCTGGAGGACTAAACCCTCGTCGATCACCTCCATCACCCCGAGATCCACCTAGTTTGAGTGTTTATGTCATGCTTTCTTTATTTCTAGTTTCTGAGCGTTTTGATTGAAATTCCTATTTTATTTCGGTAATAAAAGTTGTTTTTTCCCGTTGTTGTTTGGTTAACTCCGTTGCCAATCTCCTTTTTCATCTTGGACCAAACAGTGACTTTGTCTTTTCACTTATGTTGGCGTACGTGCTTCAAATTTTCTAACCACAAGCTTCTTTCTTAACCTAATAGCAACCAGCTTGACCCTTATGTTAACCAAATAGATACCAGCTTGACCCTTATGTCAAGTGAAATATCCTTATACTCAAATACTCATTTCACTGTTTGGAGTCACTCAATGAACTCATCTGAATTCATATAACACTCAAATCCAGCAAGTTAATCTTCACTCCAACATCTTGGTTTCTCCTCTGATATTCTATATGTCAGATCGGTTGGATATTGGTTGTTCATCATTAGAAATTTCCTAATGGATGGGATTCACTTCCTTCCCTCGATCTGGCGACTCATAATTGTGCCTATGGGTAACCTCACTAATTGTCTCCTCTCAAAGGCGAGAAGCCTCTATTGTAGTTGGAGTTTTTCCTATCACATATCCTTCATAGTAAGTTCTTGAGCACCTCTTTGTAAAATTCTCTTAGGCAGCATTACATTATTTTCTTTGATCAAAATTTTGACAAGTGTAGAGTTATAGATAAAATATTGGTTCAAGTTTAGGGTTTTAATGCTAGGTGTCGAAAAGGATTTTTGGTGGAGGTAGGAATGTTGAATTATAAAAATTTAGGATTGGGGCTAGGAATTGCGATGGAAATTACTTAGATATAGTGGGAATTTTTTTGGAATTTTGAATTGGGACAAGAAATAAAACCTTAAAAAATCTAGGGTTTGTCAAACTCTAAAACCAAATGATACCGTTCTAGGGGGTGTGATTGCCTATTTAGAGAGATTTTTTTCTTTTTTGTGTCAATATTTAGACAGAATTGACATCATAAATGAGACATAATGAAATAATCTATAGAAAAGATCTAATTGAAGATTAGCATAATCATGGCGGGCGCACTCAAGTGACTTTGAAAATGTCTAGCACATGTCTATATTTTATGACAAACATGAGCAACCTATCTAAATTTTGCCCGAATAAGTATTTAGAGGTCAAAGCTATTCATCATTTGTCAAATCAAACAAGAAATGAATGAAACTTTGCTACACCGATAATTAAAAAAACAGCAAGCAAGAAAGCACATTAAATGTCCATTTCCAAGTGATGCAGGATGAAGAGTTACTAAGACTGACTTTGAAACCTGATACTGCATCTTGGCGAGCCACAATAGAGCCTGTGTTGCTAAGTGGCTTTGCAAGCCATCTTTTAAGCAATCTTTTGCCAAATCCTGTCACACAGCTATCTAATTGGGCATAAAGTGTCCTGAATTGACAAAAAAAACTTCATATAAGAGAACTTGATTCACCAATAAAACAAAAAAGGTATTTTCACGTGGTCATTACCCAGTGGGGTTTCCATTTCTGTTCTCCAGAATCTCAAGATTCTCAAGTGCAGGAGCATCAAGTATCATATACGACTTTTGAATTTGATTGAAAGAGCCCGCATATTGAAGTGCCTCAAACTTAGCACACTTGAGCAGAGTTTCAGCCAGAAAAGCTTGCCTTAGATAAAAGAGACAACCTCCCAAAGCAGAAAGAGCAAGGCTTCCATTTTCCCCTGCACTATCAAGCTCTGATAAAATGCAAGGAAGGATTTCAGGATTGTTTCCCGGGCTATGAACACCATCAGTATTATCCATCATCCCTGAATTTCCTGAATTTTTTGATGGGCTATAAATTTTCTTGATCTCCAAAATTGTTTTTTCAGCATTCCAATATTCTGATTTAGGAACCAAATCATTCAATAGAGGGTTTCTAGTATTATGCATTAAAACCCTTTCAGTTACAGGACTGAGCACCTTAAAAGGCTTTATAATCTCCACTGGCCTTAATTCTGATAATATTGAACATAAGCAGTCCCTCTCCAGATTATCATCAAACTAATCCATAGAAAAGAAAAACATGATAACATTAGCTTTGGTCAAACCTCTGATTTTAAAATAATACTAAAACAATGATTCTAAGTCTTATGCATAATCGTTCAAATAATTCAAGTTAAAAAACAAGAATTGCAAACCTGCCCCAACATGAATTTGCTTGTTGAAACATCCACAACACAAATGCCAAGCACCGTGCCTTGCGTATTGTGCTTATCAAAATTTTGGCATTTTTCTGTAATTGACATCAAGTAAGAAGCATCTGGATTTGTTAACAATGTTTCCCCCTCAACAAGCGTTCCCTTTGTAACAACAGCACAAATTTCACGCTTAACAACCTTCAGAAGCAGAAAAATGTCATAAAGATTCGGACTAGTAAAAATAAAACAAGGCTAGTGCCAATCAGATGGAACTAGAAAGCAAATTTAAACAAGTAACTGAAAGAAAGCTTATATAATGCTTAAAACAAATAAACACTTGGAAAATTTTAAAACGTCATTTTATGACTTGGAAGCAGAAGACCATGAGTATAGATTTCATACCAACCAATAAATAAATTTAGCAGTCTCAAAACAATTTAGCAGTCCCAAAACAAAAAAGAGAACTCCAAAAACTAGGCACACATTACCAAAGCATCGGATAAGCTAATTCAAGTGAGCTGAAGGTTTTCGAGGAGGAAATAGAAGGCAAAACCTCAAGCAATAAAACAGAAAATTATCTAAATCATAAAGATCTCTCACCATATTCCTTCCAGCTTCGCTAAATCATCCATCAAATGACAATGTCCCCAACGGAATTTTTTCCACTCCTACCTCTTTCTCCCACTCAGTATCTATTCCCCCAGAGAATCCAGGCGGTATGGTTGAGACTATTTGAATTAAACTTGCTTAAATACTCAAAGTCACAAATCACAGAGGTAGCATGAATCTAAAGGCTAACCTAATTACCAACCTTATAATTAACAGTTTGAATCTGCTCTCAAATGGGTGGAGGTGGGCACTAGTCTCTAAGCCCCAAGTCTAAAAAAGTTCAACAAACAGAATCAAAACTCTCAATGTCATTCCCGATAATAACTTCCTAAAACATCAGCAGCATTCAGAGGGCTGGAGGAATTTTGAATGCAGGAAATTATTTCTACATACAACAACAATTTATTTTGTTTGTGGGAAATAAATTTGATAAGTGATCTTTGTTCCAATCCTTCATTGCCACAAAATAAACCATCTTTTCTAATGAAGGCTTTTTCATAACTTTGACACTAGCCCTGGTAAGAGAATATAAATGAATTGGAATTTCAGCGTCAATTAATTTCAGGCCTGATGTGTACTAAAAAAGTTTGCAGAGGTGGAGTAATGATTTATCGTTTGAGAATTGTAAGAGAATCCATCACACACTCAAATGAAAGAATATAACCAGTAAGGACATCAAAAGTTATTGCGTGGAAAAATCAGAAAGAGAAAAACATGAGGCTTTGTCCAGTTGAAATATGTTACTATGAGTTGGTGATTACAGTTACAACCTCTTGTCCCACAGGCAAAAAAAAGGTAGCACAGTTTTTCGTGTTAATTTGTCGATGCGTGGAAGAACATGTTGCCCCACTACAGGAAGCAGTCGCAATGGGTAGTGATTGTGGAGCTTTACTGCACCGTCTTCGGCGCCGGCACAAAGTTCGGGATGATGAGTCGCTTTGTAGGTTGCTTCATGATTTAGCAACGTCAGTTGTTGCTTTGTATGGTGCTTTGTTTCTAGGAGCATGCAACAACAGACAAACAGTGGTGGACAGCTGTCGGCGGCCAACGGGTAGTGGTCAACGGCTGTCGGGGGCCGACGGGCAGTGATCGAAGGCGATCGGCAGCTACAAGAGCAAAAGGTCAATGGTAGTCGGTGGCAGTCGAGAAGCAGTGATCGAAGGTGGTTGGCGGTTGCAAAAGCAAGAGGTAATCGTCAGATCGTCGACGCGGGATTCTAGGCTTCTGCTCCCTTATCTCCAAGCTCTGGTCTTCCTCTAGCTCACACTCTCCTCCCCCTCACAAGAGGAAGGTAGAGCTCTATTTATAGAGTTCATGTTACAAATAAGGAAGGAATTCGAACCACTTTGATCGGACAGCCTAGAGAGAACCCCTTGATCAGACAGCATTCGATGAACATTTAAGCGCCTTAAAGATATCGGAATTGAGCGATATTGGGCTCGTTGGATTCGTCTTGTCGAGACACTCGATTGAATATAAGCTTGCCAAATTTGGATTCTGTTTGACCTTCCAGTTGTGCCTAGAAAACCTCTAAAGGTGGTTTGACTGTTTGATATGGGTTTGATTTGACTCAGATTAGACTAATTTTGGTACCATTGGGTCTGCCTCGTCGAATCAATCAGTTTGATTATAAATTTGTCGAAATTGAAATTTTTGATAGCTTTTAATCAAAATTTGAGTGTTTGTTGCTCAAACAATTGTCTCAAGAGGTGGTTGGCGGTGGCCTGCAGCAGAAGTTATCGACGGCAGCTACCCTAGTGGGAGGCATTCGTCGAATCTACGGTGCATAAACGATGTTGGACTCCAGCTCCTCTTCCAAGCACCAGCCTTCTTCTAGCTCCAGGTCTCCCTCATTGCAGCTCCCGACACCGACCTCTATATCCTACAGACATCATCACAGCTCACAATTACGGCTTACATAACCAACTATGGCCTACGTGGTCCACAACTCATGCAGCTCCCGACTTCCACACCCGCGGCCTACGGACATCATCACAACTAACAGCTATAGCCTATGTGACCAACTACGGTCTACATGACATATTGTCTGTGCAGCTTTCAACTCTTGCCCCTTGCGGCCTATAGACGTCATTGTAGCTCATTGCTACGACATATGTGACTAATAATGGCCTATGTGGCTCACAACTCGGACAGCTTATGACTCTGGCTACTGCGACCTACAAATGTCATCTTAGCTCACCGCTAAAGCCTATGTGACCAACTACAGCTTATGTGGCTCACAGCTCGGGCAACTTTCTACTCAGGCCCCTGCGGCCTACAGACATCATCACAGTTCACCATTACGACCTACGTGACTAGGGCTGTAAACGAGCCGAGCTTGAGCGAGCTCAGGCTTGGCTCGTGTTCAACTCGTTCGAAATAGCTCGTGTTCGAAATCGGCTCGTGAACAGTGTGTTCGTGTTCGGCTCGATTTAAATATTTGTGTTCGTGTTCGGCTATAGATGTAAAGTGTGGGATTCGAACCTGGATCAAATATATACAAAAGAATGCACTAATCACATTACCACACTAGATGTTATGATTTAAATTTAGATATAAATATATATAATATATTATTATATAAATAATATATGTAATATAATATGATATAAATAATTATATATTTTTTTTAATTTTGAGTTAAAACGAACCGAACACGAGCAAAGAGTTGTTCGTGCTCGGCTCGTTTATAATTCGAGCTATAAAAACTTATTCATGTTCGACTCGTTTACTTAACGAACAAGCCGAATACGAGCTACTTAACGAGCCGAACACGAGTTGTTCGCGAACAACGAACATTTTTGACAGCTCTATACGTGACCAACTACGGCCTACGTGGTCTAAAGCTCGTGCAGTTTCCAACTCCGGGCCCCGCAACCTACAAATGTCGTCATTGCTCACCAATATGGTCTACGTGACCAACTACATCCTACATGGTTCACATCTCCTGCAACTCCTGGCTCCACCTATACGGCCTACGAACGTCATCACAACTAACTACTACGACATATGTTACCAACTATGACCTTCCTGGCATACAACAAGTGCAACTCCCAGCTCTTATCTCTGTAGCCAACGAAGATCATCGCAGCTCCCAGTTGCAGCTTATATGACCAACTACAGCCCACGCGGCCCACAACTCACACAGTCCTAAATCTCCTGTCTCTACGGCCTACCGACGTTAACGCAACTCGCCACTACGGCCAATGTGACTAAATAAGGCTTACATGGCTCACAACTCTTACAGCTTCTTACTACATCTTTGTAACCAATCAGTGGTCTTGACACAGCCAGCTGTGGCCCACACAGCCAACTACCATGGCTTCCAACAACAGCTTATACGACAAGCTGGCACCACAGCCATCATTTACAACGTTCATAGTGGACTACTGTCTCCCTAGCGATCGACTACGACCCTTAGAACCTACTATCACCGAAAACTACCTTCACTGTAGCCAGGCTATGATTATTATTGATAAGCAATTGTTGTACATTTATAATTAACATCTTTATAACTCATCTAATTTGAGATAAGAGTGGATCAGTGTACTCACTATTCATGATGGATTATTTCAACCGGGTAGGTCCCGTGATTTTTTCCCTTATCAGGATTTTTCAAATAAAAATTGAGGTTTCTTCTCCTTCTTACTTCCCTTTAATAACCTGAGTGTGTGTTGGATTTTCGTGCAATACTAAGACGCTAAGTTTACTACTCTACCATCGCGGACCTTCCGACACGCATCAAGGCCTACTTTGTTTAACTCACAATCTATTCAAAAAGTTGTTTGATCAATTCTAATATAATTTTTCATCCCATCACAATTTATTCTCGCAACTCTACCATGAATTAAAAATAAAAACATTGGGAAGCTATTCACTCTATCTCTAAAACAATCTCATTAGGTTGGATAGTTTTTCTTGTAACTTAAATTGTATTAAAGAGCTTGAGGATAATCATTGAATACTAAGTCTGAAATTTTATCTTGCCTTTTTAATGCAAATATTCTTGATTTTCTAAAATGTGGAATTATCATTCTCTCAGTTCAACAATCAATTTTATAACCTATTAGACCAACTGAACTTTGTTTGAATGTAAGGCGGGCTTCTCCCTCGTATCGGAGCAGAAGCAGGATTTTCCCGCAATTGGGTTTTCTCTAGGGTTGTATCCAAGAGTTGAGTGTTGCTCCGGCTGTATCTCGCTGTCAAATTAATGATTTATCATTCCTCGACTTTTCCACATCCCTCCCGCTTCGCTGCAATGCATCCCTCCTCACTGCAACAGCCCAGATAAGAATGTCACCCCTATTTTTCTGAAGTTCCAGTCATCCAGCCACCTTCCCCCTCTTCCCTTCTTGTCACAACCGCATATAACAACATCCCTTTGTTGTTTCTTTTGTTGTCCTCTTGCAGAACCCGCCACCAGCCAACCATTTTGTTGTTTCCTGCAATCATCACTCTCCTCCAACCATTTCGCATCACTCTCAATCACTGTTCCTCATTGTCGACATCTAGAAACAGCAACCCTGCTGCTTTCTTTGTTGCTTTCTTGCAATCCAGCAGTCCCCTATGCGCGGCTACTCTTAGAAAAC